CATCAAATGGACCTAATTTGGGAACCGGAAGAGGTAAGGAGTCCGAAATGTACCTCTGTGACTCCACATTGTGGAAACTCACTTGTAGTGTATAAGATGAACTAGATGGACCCATACTTACCCAAACATGGATTAATAGGTTCTACACATGACTATGAGGACAAACATGAGTGAAACGGTCTCAATCCAAGGGAGGAACATCAAATGGACCTAATTTGGGAACCGGAAGAGGTAAGGAGTCCGAAATGTACCTCTGTGACTCCACATTGTGGAAACTCACTTGTAGTGTATAAGATGAACTAGATGGACCCATACTTACCCAAACATGGATTAATAGGTTCTACACATGACTATGAGGACAAACATGAGTGAAACGGTCTCAATCCAAGGGAGGAACATCAAATGGACCTAATTTGGGAACCGGAAGAGGTAAGGAGTCCGAAATGTACCTCTGTGACTCCACATTGTGGAAACTCACTTGTAGTGTATAAGATGAACTAGATGGACCCATACTTACCCAAACATGGATTAATAGGTTCTACACATGACTATGAGGACAAACATGAGTGAAACGGTCTCAATCCAAGGGAGGAACATCAAATGGACCTAATTTGGGAACCGGAAGAGGTAAGGAGTCCGAAATGTACCTCTGTGACTCCACATTGTGGAAACTCACTTGTAGTGTATAAGATGAACTAGATGGACCCATACTTACCCAAACATGGATTAATAGGTTCTACACATGACTATGAGGACAAACATGAGTGAAACGGTCTCAATCCAAGGGAGGAACATCAAATGGACCAATTTGGGAACCGGAAGAGGTAAGGAGTCCGAAATGTACTCTCTGTGCCTACCAAACATGGATTAATAGGTTCTTTGAGGACAAACATGAGTGAAACGGTCTCAATCCAAGGGAGGAACATCAAATGGACCTAATTTGGGAACCGGAAGAGGTAAGGAGTCCGAAATGTACCTCTGTGACTCCACATTGTGGAAACTCACTTGTAGTGTATAAGATGAACTAGATGGACCCATACTTACCCAAACATGGATTAATAGGTTCTACACATGACTATGAGGACAAACATGAGTGAAACGGTCTCAATCCAAGGGAGGAACATCAAATGGACCTAATTTGGGAACCGGAAGAGGTAAGGAGTCCGAAATGTACCTCTGTGACTCCACATTGTGGAAACTCACTTGTAGTGTATAAGATGAACTAGATGGACCCATACTTACCCAAACATGGATTAATAGGTTCTACACATGACTATGAGGACAAACATGAGTGAAACGGTCTCAATCCAAGGGAGGAACATCAAATGGACCTAATTTGGGAACCGGAAGAGGTAAGGAGTCCGAAATGTACCTCTGTGACTCCACATTGTGGAAACTCACTTGTAGTGTATAAGATGAACTAGATGGACCCATACTTACCCAAACATGGATTAATAGGTTCTACACATGACTATGAGGACAAACATGAGTGAAACGGTCTCAATCCAAGGGAGGAACATCAAATGGACCTAATTTGGGAACCGGAAGAGGTAAGGAGTCCGAAATGTACCTCTGTGACTCCACATTGTGGAAACTCACTTGTAGTGTATAAGATGAACTAGATGGACCCATACTTACCCAAACATGGATTAATAGGTTCTACACATGACTATGAGGACAAACATGAGTGAAACGGTCTCAATCCAAGGGAGGAACATCAAATGGACCTAATTTGGGAACCGGAAGAGGTAAGGAGTCCGAAATGTACCTCTGTGACTCCACATTGTGGAAACTCACTTGTAGTGTATAAGATGAACTAGATGGACCCATACTTACCCAAACATGGATTAATAGGTTCTACACATGACTATGAGGACAAACATGAGTGAAACGGTCTCAATCCAAGGGAGGAACATCAAATGGACCAATTTGGGAACCGGAAGAGGTAAGGAGTCCGAAATGTACCTCTGTGACTCCACATTGTGGAAACTCACTTGTAGTGTATAAGATGAACTAGATGGACCCATACTTACCCAAACATGGATTAATAGGTTCTACACATGACTATGAGGACAAACATGAGTGAAACGGTCTCAATCCAAGGGAGGAACATCAAATGGACCTAATTTGGGAACCGGAAGAGGTAAGGAGTCCGAAATGTACCTCTGTGACTCCACATTGTGGAAACTCACTTGTAGTGTATAAGATGAACTAGATGGACCCATACTTACCCAAACATGGATTAATAGGTTCTACACATGACTATGAGGACAAACATGAGTGAAACGGTCTCAATCCAAGGGAGGAACATCAAATGGACCTAATTTGGGAACCGGAAGAGGTAAGGAGTCCGAAATGTACCTCTGTGACTCCACATTGTGGAAACTCACTTGTAGTGTATAAGATGAACTAGATGGACCCATACTTACCCAAACATGGATTAATAGGTTCTACACATGACTATGAGGACAAACATGAGTGAAACGGTCTCAATCCAAGGGAGGAACATCAAATGGACCTAATTTGGGAACCGGAAGAGGTAAGGAGTCCGAAATGTACCTCTGTGACTCCACATTGTGGAAACTCACTTGTAGTGTATAAGATGAACTAGATGGACCCATACTTACCCAAACATGGATTAATAGGTTCTACACATGACTATGAGGACAAACATGAGTGAAACGGTCTCAATCCAAGGGAGGAACATCAAATGGACCTAATTTGGGAACCGGAAGAGGTAAGGAGTCCGAAATGTACCTCTGTGACTCCACATTGTGGAAACTCACTTGTAGTGTATAAGATGAACTAGATGGACCCATACTTACCCAAACATGGATTAATAGGTTCTACACATGACTATGAGGACAAACATGAGTGAAACGGTCTCAATCCAAGGGAGGAACATCAAATGGACCTAATTTGGGAACCGGAAGAGGTAAGGAGTCCGAAATGTACCTCTGTGACTCCACATTGTGGAAACTCACTTGTAGTGTATAAGATGAACTAGATGGACCCATACTTACCCAAACATGGATTAATAGGTTCTACACATGACTATGAGGACAAACATGAGTGAAACGGTCTCAATCCAAGGGAGGAACATCAAATGGACCTAATTTGGGAACCGGAAGAGGTAAGGAGTCCGAAATGTACCTCTGTGACTCCACATTGTGGAAACTCACTTGTAGTGTATAAGATGAACTAGATGGACCCATACTTACCCAAACATGGATTAATAGGTTCTACACATGACTATGAGGACAAACATGAGTGAAACGGTCTCAATCCAAGGGAGGAACATCAAATGGACCTAATTTGGGAACCGGAAGAGGTAAGGAGTCCGAAATGTACCTCTGTGACTCCACATTGTGGAAACTCACTTGTAGTGTATAAGATGAACTAGATGGACCCATACTTACCCAAACATGGATTAATAGGTTCTACACATGACTATGAGGACAAACATGAGTGAAACGGTCTCAATCCAAGGGAGGAACATCAAATGGACCTAATTTGGGAACCGGAAGAGGTAAGGAGTCCGAAATGTACCTCTGTGACTCCACATTGTGGAAACTCACTTGTAGTGTATAAGATGAACTAGATGGACCCATACTTACCCAAACATGGATTAATAGGTTCTACACATGACTATGAGGACAAACATGAGTGAAACGGTCTCAATCCAAGGGAGGAACATCAAATGGACCAAATTTGGGAACCGGAAGAGGTAAGGAGTCCGAAATGTACCTCTGTGACTCCACATTGTGGAAACTCACTTGTAGTGTATAAGATGAACTAGATGGACCCATACTTACCCAAACATGGATTAATAGGTTCTACACATGACTATGAGGACAAACATGAGTGAAACGGTCTCAATCCAAGGGAGGAACATCAAATGGACCTAATTTGGGAACCGGAAGAGGTAAGGAGTCCGAAATGTACCTCTGTGACTCCACATTGTGGAAACTCACTTGTAGTGTATAAGATGAACTAGATGGACCCATACTTACCCAAACATGGATTAATAGGTTCTACACATGACTATGAGGACAAACATGAGTGAAACGGTCTCAATCCAAGGGAGGAACATCAAATGGACCAATTTGGGAACCGGAAGAGGTAAGGAGTCCGAAATGTACCTCTGTGACTCCACATTGTGGAAACTCACTTGTAGTGTATAAGATGAACTAGATGGACCCATACTTACCCAAACATGGATTAATAGGTTCTACACATGACTATGAGGACAAACATGAGTGAAACGGTCTCAATCCAAGGGAGGAACATCAAATGGACCTAATTTGGGAACCGGAAGAGGTAAGGAGTCCGAAATGTACTCTCTGTACCCCATACCAAACATGGATTAATAGGTTCTTTATGAGGACAAACATGAGTGAAACGGTCTCAATCCAAGGGAGGAACATCAAATGGACCAAATTTGGGAACCGGAAGAGGTAAGGAGTCCGAAATGTACCTCTGTGACTCCACATTGTGGAAACTCACTTGTAGTGTATAAGATGAACTAGATGGACCCATACTTACCCAAACATGGATTAATAGGTTCTACACATGACTATGAGGACAAACATGAGTGAAACGGTCTCAATCCAAGGGAGGAACATCAAATGGACCTAATTTGGGAACCGGAAGAGGTAAGGAGTCCGAAATGTACCTCTGTGACTCCACATTGTGGAAACTCACTTGTAGTGTATAAGATGAACTAGATGGACCCATACTTACCAAACATGGATTAATAGGTTCTACACATGACTATGAGGACAAACATGAGTGAAACGGTCTCAATCCAAGGGAGGAACATCAAATGGACCTAATTTGGGAACCGGAAGAGGTAAGGAGTCCGAAATGTACCTCTGTGACTCCACATTGTGGAAACTCACTTGTAGTGTATAAGATGAACTAGATGGACCCATACTTACCCAAACATGGATTAATAGGTTCTACACATGACTATGAGGACAAACATGAGTGAAACGGTCTCAATCCAAGGGAGGAACATCAAATGGACCTAATTTGGGAACCGGAAGAGGTAAGGAGTCCGAAATGTACCTCTGTGACTCCAGATTGAGGAAACTTCACTTGTAGTGTATAAGATGAACTTTAGAAAACTACTCTATTTTTTTAGTTTAACCACGCAATTGAAATTTAACTCTAAATTCTAGACATAAAACTAAATTTTAAGATCTAAACAAATTAAAACGATAAATTGACCGTTAAAACTTAAATCTTTCAAGTTCAGTTGTAAACAAACAATAATAATTTCCATCCACATTATCAATTAAACGTTTTGATAAAAGGAAAAACTAAGAAAATAAATCTTACATAGCCGAAAAAATATTTGATTGGTAATAAAAAAAAATAGTAATTAACTAACCTAAGTTGCATTTTATCACAAGTTAATCTTGGTAGAGAAGGTAGTCTTGGACTCTTGGTACCGCTGAAGATATCATTCTGTTCCTCCAAATCAGGTTCGGTCCGCAAACGAAGGCATTCTACTCGAAGGTTGTATTCGTAACAGAGCTTTTCTGCAAGCTTGTACTTGTGTCGGAAAAAGTATGGAGCTATCTCAGCCAAATCAAGAGAAATCTCACAATCGTTCAAATAATATCCATACCTCTTCTCTTCCAGCGCCATCTTTGCTTCGTTAGCAGAAGCAAACTCAACAAAACCACATCCTACAAGCGTACCTCGTCATATCCTTTAGCCGCAAGGTAGTCATCTTGGGCCGAGAGCTTCTGATGGGCCGAGTTGACTGACTTTTTTTTTTGTTTTTTTTCCACATTATTTAGTTAATAATAATAATTAATTTTCCTCGTTTTTTAAAATAAAATTGCCTGGAATTGTTTAAGAATTAAGAGTCTCATTGTTTAAGATGATATCACAGACACAGCGTATCTAATCAGTTCAGTTTCTCTCCGTCCAAAACGGCGCCGTTGTGTATGATTCTTTTGTCAACTGAGCAACAAAAAAACCCTATGAAAACAATTGGCTTCACACTCATTTTCTCAATTTTGCTTCTTCTCTCTGCTTCACAGACAGATTCACGCCTCGCTCCCCAATTTCCCAAACTTACCGTTTCCTTTTCTTACCGTGTTCTTAGGGTTTCCTTTATCGGAAAATTCCGGTTTTGATTATATTANCACATTACTATGAGGACAAACATGAGTGAAACGGTCTCAATCCAAGGGAGGAACATCAAATGGACCAAATTTGGGAACCGGAAGAGGTAAGGAGTCCGAAATGTACCTCTGTGCCTCCACATTGTGGAAACTCACTTGTAGTGTATAAGATGAACTAAGATGGACCCATACTACCCAAACATGGATTAATAGGTTCTACACATGACTATGAGGACAAACATGAGTGAAACGGTCTCAATCCAAGGGAGGAACATCAAATGGACCAAATTTGGGAACCGGAAGAGGTAAGGAGTCCGAAATGTACTCTGTGCCTCCACATTGTGGAAACTCACTTGTAGTGTATAAGATGAACTAGATGGACCCATACTTACCCAAACATGGATTAATAGGTTCTCACATGACTATGAGGACAAACATGAGTGAAACGGTCTCAATCCAAGGGAGGAACATCAAATGGACCAAATTTGGGAACCGGAAGAGGTAAGGAGTCCGAAATGTACCTCTGTGCCTCCACATTGTGGAAACTCACTTGTAGTGTATAAGATGAACTAGATGGACCCATACTTACCCAAACATGGATTAATAGGTTCTACACATGACTATGAGGACAAACATGAGTGAAACGGTCTCAATCCAAGGGAGGAACATCAAATGGACCAAATTTGGGAACCGGAAGAGGTAAGGAGTCCGAAATGTACCTCTGTGCCTCCACATTGTGGAAACTCACTTGTAGTGTATAAGATGAACTAGATGGACCCATACTTACCCAAACATGGATTAATAGGTTCTCACATGACTATGAGGACAAACATGAGTGAAACGGTCTCAATCCAAGGGAGGAACATCAAATGGACCAAATTTGGGAACCGGAAGAGGTAAGGAGTCCGAAATGTACCTCTGTGCCTCCACATTGTGGAAACTCACTTGTAGTGTATAAGATGAACTAGATGGACCCATACTTACCCAAACATGGATTAATAGGTTCTCACATGACTATGAGGACAAACATGAGTGAAACGGTCTCAATCCAAGGGAGGAACATCAAATGGACCAAATTTGGGAACCGGAAGAGGTAAGGAGTCCGAAATGTACCTCTGTGCCTCCACATTGTGGAAACTCACTTGTAGTGTATAAGATGAACTAGATGGACCCATACTTACCCAAACATGGATTAATAGGTTCTCACATGACTATGAGGACAAACATGAGTGAAACGGTCTCAATCCAAGGGAGGAACATCAAATGGACCAAATTTGGGAACCGGAAGAGGTAAGGAGTCCGAAATGTACCTCTGTGCCTCCACATTGTGGAAACTCACTTGTAGTGTATAAGATGAACTAGATGGACCCATACTTACCCAAACATGGATTAATAGGTTCTACACATGACTATGAGGACAAACATGAGTGAAACGGTCTCAATCCAAGGGAGGAACATCAAATGGACCAAATTTGGGAACCGGAAGAGGTAAGGAGTCCGAAATGTACCTCTGTGCCTCCACATTGTGGAAACTCACTTGTAGTGTATAAGATGAACTAGATGGACCCATACTTACCCAAACATGGATTAATAGGTTCTACACATGACTATGAGGACAAACATGAGTGAAACGGTCTCAATCCAAGGGAGGAACATCAAATGGACCAAATTTGGGAACCGGAAGAGGTAAGGAGTCCGAAATGTACCTCTGTGCCTCCACATTGTGGAAACTCACTTGTAGTGTATAAGATGAACTAGATGGACCCATACTTACCCAAACATGGATTAATAGGTTCTACACATGACTATGAGGACAAACATGAGTGAAACGGTCTCAATCCAAGGGAGGAACATCAAATGGACCAAATTTGGGAACCGGAAGAGGTAAGGAGTCCGAAATGTACCTCTGTGCCTCCACATTGTGGAAACTCACTTGTAGTGTATAAGATGAACTAGATGGACCCATACTTACCCAAACATGGATTAATAGGTTCTCACATGACTATGAGGACAAACATGAGTGAAACGGTCTCAATCCAAGGGAGGAACATCAAATGGACCAAATTTGGGAACCGGAAGAGGTAAGGAGTCCGAAATGTACCTCTGTGCCTCCACATTGTGGAAACTCACTTGTAGTGTATAAGATGAACTAGATGGACCCATACTTACCCAAACATGGATTAATAGGTTCTACACATGACTATGAGGACAAACATGAGTGAAACGGTCTCAATCCAAGGGAGGAACATCAAATGGACCAAATTTGGGAACCGGAAGAGGTAAGGAGTCCGAAATGTACCTCTGTGCCTCCACATTGTGGAAACTCACTTGTAGTGTATAAGATGAACTAGATGGACCCATACTTACCCAAACATGGATTAATAGGTTCTCACATGACTATGAGGACAAACATGAGTGAAACGGTCTCAATCCAAGGGAGGAACATCAAATGGACCAAATTTGGGAACCGGAAGAGGTAAGGAGTCCGAAATGTACCTCTGTGCCTCCACATTGTGGAAACTCACTTGTAGTGTATAAGATGAACTAGATGGACCCATACTTACCCAAACATGGATTAATAGGTTCTACACATGACTATGAGGACAAACATGAGTGAAACGGTCTCAATCCAAGGGAGGAACATCAAATGGACCAAATTTGGGAACCGGAAGAGGTAAGGAGTCCGAAATGTACCTCTGTGCCTCCACATTGTGGAAACTCACTTGTAGTGTATAAGATGAACTAGATGGACCCATACTTACCCAAACATGGATTAATAGGTTCTACACATGACTATGAGGACAAACATGAGTGAAACGGTCTCAATCCAAGGGAGGAACATCAAATGGACCAAATTTGGGAACCGGAAGAGGTAAGGAGTCCGAAATGTACCTCTGTGCCTCCACATTGTGGAAACTCACTTGTAGTGTATAAGATGAACTAGATGGACCCATACTTACCCAAACATGGATTAATAGGTTCTCACATGACTATGAGGACAAACATGAGTGAAACGGTCTCAATCCAAGGGAGGAACATCAAATGGACCAAATTTGGGAACCGGAAGAGGTAAGGAGTCCGAAATGTACCTCTGTGCCTCCACATTGTGGAAACTCACTTGTAGTGTATAAGATGAACTAGATGGACCCATACTTACCCAAACATGGATTAATAGGTTCTACACATGACTATGAGGACAAACATGAGTGAAACGGTCTCAATCCAAGGGAGGAACATCAAATGGACCAAATTTGGGAACCGGAAGAGGTAAGGAGTCCGAAATGTACCTCTGTGCCTCCACATTGTGGAAACTCACTTGTAGTGTATAAGATGAACTAGATGGACCCATACTTACCCAAACATGGATTAATAGGTTCTCACATGACTATGAGGACAAACATGAGTGAAACGGTCTCAATCCAAGGGAGGAACATCAAATGGACCAAATTTGGGAACCGGAAGAGGTAAGGAGTCCGAAATGTACCTCTGTGCCTCCACATTGTGGAAACTCACTTGTAGTGTATAAGATGAACTAGATGGACCCATACTTACCCAAACATGGATTAATAGGTTCTACACATGACTATGAGGACAAACATGAGTGAAACGGTCTCAATCCAAGGGAGGAACATCAAATGGACCAAATTTGGGAACCGGAAGAGGTAAGGAGTCCGAAATGTACCTCTGTGCCTCCACATTGTGGAAACTCACTTGTAGTGTATAAGATGAACTAGATGGACCCATACTTACCCAAACATGGATTAATAGGTTCTACACATGACTATGAGGACAAACATGAGTGAAACGGTCTCAATCCAAGGGAGGAACATCAAATGGACCAAATTTGGGAACCGGAAGAGGTAAGGAGTCCGAAATGTACCTCTGTGCCTCCACATTGTGGAAACTCACTTGTAGTGTATAAGATGAACTAGATGGACCCATACTTACCCAAACATGGATTAATAGGTTCTACACATGACTATGAGGACAAACATGAGTGAAACGGTCTCAATCCAAGGGAGGAACATCAAATGGACCAAATTTGGGAACCGGAAGAGGTAAGGAGTCCGAAATGTACCTCTGTGCCTCCACATTGTGGAAACTCACTTGTAGTGTATAAGATGAACTAGATGGACCCATACTTACCCAAACATGGATTAATAGGTTCTACACATGACTATGAGGACAAACATGAGTGAAACGGTCTCAATCCAAGGGAGGAACATCAAATGGACCAAATTTGGGAACCGGAAGAGGTAAGGAGTCCGAAATGTACCTCTGTGCCTCCACATTGTGGAAACTCACTTGTAGTGTATAAGATGAACTAGATGGACCCATACTTACCCAAACATGGATTAATAGGTTCTCACATGACTATGAGGACAAACATGAGTGAAACGGTCTCAATCCAAGGGAGGAACATCAAATGGACCAAATTTGGGAACCGGAAGAGGTAAGGAGTCCGAAATGTACCTCTGTGCCTCCACATTGTGGAAACTCACTTGTAGTGTATAA